GTTTTTCAAGAAAACAACAAAACCACAATGAATTAAAGGCATTTTGTATTCTATGCGTGCGATTGTACAGTTAAAGCAGTTCGCCATGGTTATTTTTATTTACCTTTGTGTTGTACCGGCTTAAACCCTGTTTTTTTTTTAAATAAATTGATATTTTTTATTTAAAGACTAGCGGCCGCCCGCACCTTGACCGCGTTAACTTTAGTTTTCTTTAAACCCTGCAGGAATCTAACACTTTCTCAGGATAAAAATTATTAATTTTCATCCAAATCCGTTCAATGGTTTTTGCGTAATTGAATAACAAATATACAAACACACAAACATACGAACTTTCAAATTTTTAACATAAATAGGAAGTAGGATTGTCTTACAGTCGTGCTCGGAAACATCAAATCAAATTAATGCTGTATTAATTAAGTCATTATTTTTCTGGGCAGTCGTGTGATTAAGAAAATAAAGGTATATTTAAAAAATATTTTGTAACTACCCTCATCTACAACAATTAGTTACGTCCTTAAATATTAGTGCATTATAAAGTTCTTTCGTGGGTTAGACCGCGTGTTGGTGTGTATTTATTTTTGTTGCTTTTTTCTAGTACTCACTAGGAAGATTTATACTGATTAAATATACTTAGTTCTGAATAAAGTATATTTGGTCTGAGCTATATTTGATCACAGAGGTCAAAGGCATAATTAATTTCACGGTTGGATCACCTATACATCAAGCTCATTTTGGAGTAGTTAACAAAGAGCATATTAAATTTTATCTCTGTGAACTTCCGGGTAAGCATGTGCAAAATTAGAATTATCCTGTAGATTATTTATAGAAAATATCCTGTCTGGGAAATAAGCACAGCGAATGTTGCAATTCACATTCATAAAAAAAATTTTTTTTATTATTTATATTATTATTACAGAAAGAAACCTCATTGGTAGTCAATCATGTAAAGGTTGGAATGCTCTTACAAAGTGGTACAAATTTATTTAATTTTTGATTACCCAAAAATTTTTGATTAAACGTTTAGATTTCTTAGCTAGCCATACCTAGCTTTTTGTAATTATACAATAAAAGTATATTTCAAAAACATGCATTTATTATATAGTTTAATGTGGGTTTATGATACGAATACCTAATTCATATTTATCCGTGTAGGTATTTGTATTATCCAATCGAATTGATACATAATCAATTCGATTGGATAATACAAATTCGATTGGATAATACAAATTCGATTGGATAATACAATTCGATTGGATAGTAAAATACAAAATATTTTTTTTAAACTTAATTTAATGTTTTTTGTGGTGTTAAGTTAGAAGTGACCATCAATTGTTTTTTTATAAACTACCTTGTCTACTTAATGGAAAAATGTGTCACAATGATTATTCAGGATGAAGTGCGGAAATACAAGTTCTTTGTTAATGCAGTGGAAATTACGCAAATATTTTACGCAGAGCGATGGTTGCATGTAATGCCAAGGTCGTGGTTGTAATAAGAGTGTAAGGCGTCATTAAGACTGGGTCGTAACTTGTGAGCCATTCTAAGGCTCAGTCACACCGAATGATACGATGATTTATTATTATAATATGGTGAATTAAAATATTTTATAACTTTAAAATTATAAAATCTTTTAATTAACTTACGCTTAAAGCTCACTTAAACAATTTAAAAATAAAAATGTATGGCCAAAATACTTAAAGTACAGATTTTTTTAAAAGACTTTCTTTCCAATTTTGATTTCAGTACATTTAAAGTAGTCAATATACTATACAATAAAGAAGTTTTTATTGCGAACTAAAGAAAACCAATTGACAGTACATAACTGTTTGATTCCAGTCTATGTTTTTCTTCTACTTAAAGAAGAAATGTTAACATAATCTTGTCGCACCACCAGTGTAATGGCTCAATTACACTTGGTCGTTAGCCCGTATTCGGGTGCACGAGAGACATTACTCGAATTCGGGCACCTGAAACAATATAAACACTGGAATATGGACTGGAAAGCGGTGTCGGGTAAGCAAAACGAAAACTACCTGAATATGGGTGTACTCGACTCCGTTAATTTACATTTAGCCGTTTACCCGAAATCCATTAGCACTCGTATTCGGGCTAATGACCAAGTGTAATTGCGCCGTAATAAGTGGCCGCATAGATCAAAGTGATCTGTTCTTAATTTAATTTAGTTAAATGGTTCTTGTCATAAGTTTTTATTTTCCTTTATGTCGGCGTCCATCTCCGCTGTAATGAGAAACATGCCCAGGCGTCAACGAAGTCGTGTGTATGCAGGCTAGCGCGCCGCGTACTTATAGAGCCGGGTACTCATTAGCGAGCTGTAACCGTAACCGTCGTTGCATGCACTGTAACCAAAAAGCATAGTGTGTACGTGGTTCGCTAACCTGCTGCGAGCGGTACGCGTGCGATTTGCAGCGAGCCGACGCACACTGTTATGGGATATATTTATATAGAAATACATATTAAACATCCATGACTAGAGTACAAATGTTCATATTCATCACAAGAAAATTAATACTAAAGCTAAAATAATTAAGTTACGATGTTATTTGATATGCATTACCATATCATGTAGCAGCTTAGCAGCACCAGACAAAGGTTATCCCATAATAGCCCACAAACTTGAGTCTTATAAATGTTTGGATACATTTTCACAATATGTCAAGCTATAATGCTAATGTGCATATGTGTATAGACACAACATCTGTTTAGATGATGAGACGCCCAGCGATTTAATTGAATTTTCAATACTCTGTCTTAAATACGGGGCTCCGTCCTGTTTTTTAATCTTCGTACTTACATATGCTATCTATGAACTTACCTGCGTTTACGAAATTTCACTCTTTGTTAACTTTTCCATCCGAAAATATTTCTGCAGTATATCAAAGGAGTATATTGGGTAAAAATTTCAAGGGTACGAAGCGGTACCTACGAAGTTTGCTGGGTCAGCTAGTTAATAATAAAATAGATGATTCGTCTCATCGTCGGCTGATATGATGATGATAATTCATCATATGTCATAAAACACACAAGAATTGACACGAGTACTGACATCAACTAAGCACATTAAATGCATCACCAATGACTCGCATTGATGTATAGAACGTAACAATCTTAAAGTTCGTTGATCCTGCACGGGTCGCGGAGCTGCGTGATGAGAACCAGTTAAAGTTCTTCGCGTACATTTTATGAAACTCCATTTTTAAAACTAACCAGTATACAGGCTTAGGACTCCGCGGTTGTGACGCAAGCACTGACCTTGTTTCATCACTATTATTATTATCATGTATTTTTTTCCCAAAAATATTTACTCGCGGGTTTTAGGATGATCAATTTAATAATGAAAATATGTGAAGTTAAATATTGATACAAAAACGTCACCCCCGTTTTGGGGTTTCAATTTATTTATGCTGTTCGGAACTTAATTAACTTGTACCTTTAATCCTGAATTAGTTTCCTTAACTTACAAAATTTATAAGCTGTTGTCCTATAAATGTCAATTTAAAGTGCAATGAACGAAAAACATCACTGTCATTATAATCTAAATAAAAATACTATATGAGCCCAATTTTATCATTAGACGTTTCGGAGTTTTTCCAGAGCAAATATCGTGGCATAAGTAATTTTAATTTTAGTAAATAAAAAGCTACGGTAAAGCCCTTAAGAAAACACTTTTGAATAAATCAATTCCTAAGATTGACATGACAGTATTTTCTATAAGCACAGATTGCAATCTAAATTTTGGATATATTGAAAAGGTATTTCAGTAACTTATTATAGTTTTATAGATTTTTAATTAACCACTTTGTATAGTTTAATACTAATGTATAGATTGTAAAATTAGAATAGTGCAATCGACATATTTTAATTTTACGATAACTACTTACATACTTTTAAAGGTTTGCATTTATAGTAACGTTTTAATAAACAGTGCGTAGTAGTAGATACTGGATGATTTTAAAAGTTTAATCATGTACGGACAATTATCCTTGGGTTTGAGGTGTGAACGGAGTTCCAGATTAACAATTATGTTAAAATAAATAAGTAAATAAATTAAGTAATACTCGTGTCTACAGATGTATACACGAGTATTACTTAGTTTATTTAATTAATTAGGAATCTTCCTAATAATGCAAATTAGACAAATCACATAAAGTACTAGACTAATAATTTTAATTTATATATAAACATGCTAATTTGTAGAAGTAGATACCTACATTTCCTTCACAGTGGCAAAATAATTTTCATTTTTATTATCAATAAAAATTTATTTATGATCTTTAAATATCAAATTAATGTGACATAGTATAAGGTATTAATTAATATAACCGTTAAACATTTACTTATGCTTTTTTGTGTATAAACTTTAAACATATCGATACTTTATATAAAAATTTTGATCTTTATATAATATAATCAGCAGGATCACTCCTGTTTAACAATCGTATCTTACAAAATTTAGTAATTTAAAATCGTTACAATTTTATTTTAAGAGTCTATGCGCTGGAACACTTATTAAAAACGTCGCATACGAGTATATCTTGAATCAGAAAATTGTTCAAAAATGCAAAGATTTTGATGACTAAATCCACATGGATACGATTTGCTTTCAAATTATAACACGGGAGCCTAAACTCACGCGGGACAAAGTTCAATGACGAACATAATGCTGCTTGATTATTCAACCGGTCACTTATTACATAAATAACAAGGGCGGATATAAGAAAGAACAATGAACTTTAAAAATGTTTAATGTGCAATTAATATTGTCAATAATTTGCTCCATATATTTATAGGTGTATGACGAATTATGTCCGGTCAGCCCTGACCAATGTTTCGTGCGCGCGTACGAGTAATACGAGTATTTCTTTAGTTAAATTCGAACTTCGCACTTCACTTTGCACGCGGGTCACCTGAAATTAACACATGCCAATATATAAAATATCGTGGCAAAGAATATTTTCTTAAGCAAAATTTTATTGTTCCAGTGAAAATGGAGGTGCTAAGGAGACTAGTGGCGGGATACCACGATCTTATGGACAACAAAAGTGATCCCAGAGTGAATGATTGGTTTTTAATGTCCTCACCGTTTCCGACTCTGGCGATTTGTCTCACATATGTATTCACCGTTAAAGTGAGTAATATGATACATAACAATATAATTGCTTTTGCGTCAATGAAATCATTTTAATGATAGCCAATACTTTAATTGCCTTATATATTTCCATCGGTAAATTTCCTACTTTGTGTAGATATAGTTATTATACTTATTATGTGGAAAGTGTTATTGTAAATAATTATCTTAATTATTTGTTGTTTGTTTGTATGAGATTCTAGAATCATGCAATTGTTTTCTTGCAGGTATTGGGACCAAAGATAATGGAAAACAGAAAACCCGTTGAATTAAAAAATGTATTGATATGGTACAATTTATTCCAAGTCATATTCAGCATTTGGTTATTTTATGAGGTAAGTGATAATATCTTTTAAGGTAGTGACTAACTGAGATAAGTAAACAAATCGATTAACTTAAAATAGTGCCCTTTAAGAAAAGAATAGTAATACTTCGTTATAGTTTTTTGCATACACAGTTAAGATATGTTATATGCCTACCTATACCGTAGCATACCTACTTACACAGTTTTGTAATATGGAATCGAAAAGGAATTTGAAATTTTTGTGAATTCATTTAAATTACAAGTAGGTACGTAATATAATATGCCAAGACATTTTAATGTATTTTTGCTTGCGTTGAAGTCTTTTAGTTTGCAGTTTAGTACCTACTATTCGACATTACAAGTGTGTGCAATATATGTCATGTTATTTTGATAGATTGCTTTGTTTTTGACAATAACTTTTTACCCTAATTAATTAAACATGGTTATGTACTGTTTCATTACATTTATCGCATAATATGTGGGCGCCAGCGACTTCCACCGCGTAAACTTTAGTTTTTTGAAAATCCCCCGTGAACCTAACATTTTACGGGATAAAAAGTATCCTTTGTCTCTTTCCAGGCTATGTGCCGTTTTTGCGAGATTGAGTTACAAACATACGAACACACAAACATTCCTAACTTTCACATTTATAATATTGGTAGGATAATAAACCAGTAGCAAATAACACTAATGTTGAATTACAAGTTTAGCTTGTAAACCTATTTCGTACACAGGTTAACCCTAAGGGTTAACCGTTTAATTGGGAGTTCATAGCGACCAGTCTGACTTTAAATAATTTTTGTTTGACATTTCATTAATTTACTGTAATTCTTTCTTAGTTTCTTTTATTTGTGAGTCAATCAGAGTGTTTGTTACAGAGCATAGTCAGCGGCTGGTTCACAACGTACAGTTTCAGATGCCAGCCTGTCGACTACTCAAGGTCACCTTTAGCAATGAGGGTTAGTGTTCAAACTTTTTTATTTAATGTACCGCTTAAACGTGTGGCTTGCTAATGATCGATCATATAGTACGACAAGGTAACGCGAGTACGTTGAACCTGTTAGTGAATGGATGTTAACATATAAATATAATGATAACATATATAACATACTATGTTCGGAGTAAAATGATGTGTGTCAATCAATATTTTTTTCAACGCAGATTTGCGAGCAATTTACTATGTGGATGAAGATGGCTGTAATAGTACTTATATTTTCTTAGAAAGATCATTTCAGCTTTAAAAGCCTCAAGTTATATTTTTTTTAATTTAGTTACATTGACGTACTTTTGTTATTTGCTATTTTCATGTGATTATTACATTGACTTGATTCACTATTCAAATTTCCATAAAAACTTCAAATAACCTGTTCCTCGAGTGTTTATTTGGTCAACACAGTCATCAAATTAAACATTGGATAACTCAAATACGCCAAATAGCACTTGAATTTTATGTTTGGTTGATTTCTGTTAGTTACTTATCAATATTAAAATGTACTTTAACAAAGGATTAATACCAACGACCCTTACATCTTTTGATAGCTGCCATCAGATATTATCGTAAGTTAAATCTCTCACACTAACTTTAACGTCCAATAAGTTCTTATAAGAGGAGTCATCAACCTCTTTTTTGCTAGTCTTTGATTTCATATTTTAACGATCATGTTCATTTATAGCGATGTGGTTTATATATTATGGAAATGCAACTTATATAGATTATCCCACGATTCCAAAGGTTAATCGCGGTGTGTACTTTTTGCTGTACTCATGATACAGCAGATATATGGCACTAATCACTCGTAACGTAAGCAAATACCGTTTGAGTTAGGATGATTTATAAAAATGGAACCGGATTCATTCTTAACTCGGGCGCACAGCTTATAGAAACCGCGATCGACCCGTGTAGTTAACTGGGTCTGTGGTTCGCCTTCGATCGAGTTCCGATATTTTTATGTTTTGTTGTCTTTAAAACTTTATACTTCTACTTTATTTTGCGGAAATAAACGTACAATTATAAAGAGTACAAAAACCTGTCAATATTTTTGTGGGCAGCTATGAGTTCGACATAACGTGACACTTGGGTGGTTAATATTTGCCCGTGTTTTGTATGTGTACCTACTTACATAGTAAGAATTGAATAGATAAATTGTTGAAATGTGGAAATACTTATTGCTTAAAGTGAACTTTTTATAATTTTTGTTCATCTTTAGCATTTCGCACTACATTTTCAATTTTTATTGAAAAGTCAGACCTTATCATTAAGATCGGAATTATTTTTAACTTAACATTATGGTCTGTTTTTTTTCACGTTGATGTCGATCTCCTAACTGTCCACAATAAATATTGACAAGTTTTTGTGTCCAGCAACGGTGGTTCAGTGATAGAAAGCTCGCCTGCTACGCGGGTGGCCCGGGTTCGATTCCCAGCCGAAGAAGGACTTTTTCTTATGTTTTTTTTACTGCTGCAATTTGGCCTAATAGTTGAGAGTAGAGATGGGTGCAAATAAACGGGTCTATTCCGGGATCGCGGAATGTGTGCGTATCGGCTGGACCCAAAAGAACTCTGTACTCCGACCAAATTAATGTTGAATGGCTGGATTTTTGTGCGTCTTCTAAATAGATTTTGTGTTAATTTTTTGTAGATGGCTAGTGGATGTTGGTGGTACTACATCTCCAAGTTTACGGAGTTCTTCGACACTGTAAGTATGAGCTTAGTATTAACTACGCGAAAGTACATACTTATACCGCAGTTTAAAGCCTTCAAAGTATTGAAGTATACAGCCTTCATAGTATTGAAGTAACACTGTAGATATTATTTTTGTACGAGCCTTAGCAATTTCAGTCGACATATATTGACTAGTTTTAAATAAGCCATTTGGTTTTTAATATAAATGTCGCAGCGAATTACCACACCCTACTTGATGCACACACACCAATTAGCCGAGCCTCAAAGTAAGCACTGTAAGGCTTGTGTTATGGGATACTAGGGTAACGGAGAAAACATATACTGATACATATATAAGTACAAGTTTTATATAGAAACTAGCTGTCCCAGCGAACATCGTACCGCCATAAAAAAATAGGGATTGGTGGTAAAGGGATGAAAATTTAGGGTTGTATGTATTTTTGCATGATGTATCACAAAAAAAAAACAAAAAGTTTTGCCCAAAAAAAAATTTTAGGCTGATGATTGATGTTATACCCTTAACATCAGGGGGGATGAAAATTAGATGTTGTCCAATTCTCAGACCTACTGAATATGCATATAAAATTTCACGAAAATCGGTCGAGCCGATTCGGAGTAGTTTTATTACGCACACCGTGACACGAGAATTTTATATATTAGATACATCCATGACTTAGGTACAAATGCTACACACAAACATTTGCTCCACCGGGAATCGAACCTCTGCGACACTCTGAGAAGGAGATACCTTAAAAACCTGCGTACATACCTCTCGAGTCGCGGAGGTCGACAAAATGGTTTCTAATCACCAAGAACACCAGGCATTTCACATTTCTGGGCTGAAACCAATCGCTTACCACACGAAACCCTTACATAAAAAGACTACCATACCATAGTTTTATTTTACTGTAGTCTGTAAGGTGGAAGTTAATTTCCTAGGCGGATGCTACAATCCCCGTGGACAACCACTATGCCCTATCTTTCTCGGTTGCGCATTTGAATTTTTAGGAATTAATGTTAAACCTACTTCTCGCCTGTGCTATGTTAAGTGTCTCGATTTAAAGATCCACGAACGATATCTAGCTCTACAAAAAAAAAAAAATATAGTATTTACCCCGTAAAAGATTTTCTTGGAATTCTCATATAATTTCACACTAGCAAAGTATGTCACTCAATCAATCAATAACTTAACAAAGGTACAAGTTCATCATATATATGTCACACATAATATATTACACCTTCATATACATAGGTACGTCCATTTAGATACATATATTTGCATACCAAGGCCTTAAAAAGTACCTATCATGTTCCTATAATGCTAAATTTAGATAACAGTTATGTTTGTTTCCTTTAGCTAATGATGTTACAAACTCTTAGAGAGAATTAACGTTGTTCTATAATAATCAAGAAACGTATCAATCTCCGGTTTGTTTTGATATCAATTAAAACGCCGCCTGTTAGAAACAGTTTTTTAATACATTTTTGTACACTTAATTATTTATATTTTAATGATACAGGCATTTATTGATTGCATTGATTCTTAATCACAACATAACACGGATTTTGATGAATTTTGCTTCACAAAACGTGTACATTTTATTGTTAAAAAGCAATATGGTACAAAGTTAGGTTTTATATTTTCTATGCCGTGTAAGTATAGTTTTTTTTTATTAAATGTAAAAAGTGGTAGATACGACTACTGCCTAAGCATAGAAACATAAAATTGTAGGTTAGACCCAAGTGTAAAAATATATGCGTTTTTATCATGCCGTTTTAATAATATATTATACAGGTAAGTTTTAATATAAATTATATATATATATTTAGGATGAATTTAGCCGTTTTATGTGGGGTCTCAGAGAGGGTATCAAAGTTTACGCAGATGCAGTCACAAGCTACGCCTAGTATTGTTAATGCAGAATATGTATATCATAATATGGTGGTGGTTATAATTTCATAGCATAATATGGTGTTTAGAGAGACGATAAAATTATTCCGACTGAGTGTACCCGGGAAATTAGAAATTCAATTAAATTTCCAGATACTTAGGTGGAGTCATATGTTGAGATTTTGACGTTCTTGTACCTTTATTAACTTATTTTGATGTAAATTAATAAATGGAATTTTCCTGGTATTAACATAACCAGTACTTATTCTTTGGTTACAAAGACACAAAAAATAAAATAACACTCACAAGAAATCTCAACAAACATCTGTTACTATTAAATTAGGTTTGCTAATTTTGTTTATGTTTATGAACGGTAGAAAAGGTTTCTAGTACAATCCTTATATTTAAATTAATTTAATGACGTCAATGAATCCTCAATAAGTGCTATTAAGAATGGCTTCCGGCCGGTGGTAACAAAGATTTTGGTTCTTTCTATGCTATAATTAGGCTCGAACGAATGACGCCAGAATAATAAAAACGACTATAATTTATAAATGAGAATCAACGGTATATATTGTATTATTACATGTTCGCAACTTGATCCACTTTAGACTTAAGAATTATAATAACCAATGTTCTAAATTAAAAATATTTAGTTTTTTTTATCGATGGGTTGGTGATCACCAAGGCCATAGGTCTATCGCTTATAATTTTATTTTTGATGTACTTACCACAACCGCGCTTCTGGTAATCTGATTCAAATGTACTGGGTTCGAATCCCTCTAGGGACATAACTTTGTATGATGGGCATACGGAAATTATGAATCATGGTTGTTTCTTTAGTTGTTTTAAGAAGGGTATGGAGGGGGAATAGTGCTCACTGGGTAATGGCACTCACCTCTGTAACTCTGTCAAAATGGAACGCAGCAATACGCCACGTCGCGTGAAGCGCGAGGGGAGGGGGCTACTAACAGACAGTAGATTACTCGATTGTTAAAGTTTGTTATAGTAATTTTTGATATCATCCAGATTGCTACCATGTACATTGTTTTTTGCTGCGAGTACCCGATATTTCGACACTGTTGCAAGCACCATGATCACGGAACAACTAAGTAATCCCGCTAAAAATAACTGGAATGTTAGTGAACATGAAAATTTAAAACAAAATAAAGACATTGGTATTTTTCTTAAAATTGATTTATAAGAAATAATTTAGAAACTATACCACGATTTCTTAAGTTAACGCCATTTCCCCTCCCTACTCTATATTTTATTCAGTTTACATAATCCAAACCTTATTTACTTCAGGTGGTATGTTCTAAATAATTCCACAGCAGATTATGACTATAAAAATGGTTCCGAGTAAATAAAATGTCTAAATTTAAAGTTGTTTGTTTTGGTTTATTTTGACGACCTTCGCCACTAAGTGTATCCTTCTGCGTTCAGTAGCAGCAGATAGATCGCATGTGATTTTTTGTTGAACAGTAGTTTTTTTTTTCATATTGTAAATGCTTTGTTTTAGCAAAACCACCTTAAACTATGACTGTTTATAATTATTTTTAATACGAATTTTATGATAATATTTATTTCTTTGTTGTTCAAGCAGCGTTCTGCTAAAATAAATTAATGATAAGTAATAATTTCGACAAAAATAGTATTAATGTCCCCAGAGCAAGAAAATGTTTTTAGGTAAAATCCTAAAGTAAGTATACGAGCTAGTTTTAATGGAATTTCTGCTTAAATCACACATGTTCCTTTCTATTTATAACCACCCACGGATTCTTTTAAACTAATCGTCAAATAATTCACATCCTATCGTCAAATAATTGAATAGGCAAATAACATAAAACACACATTGTTTTTTGAGATAATTAGGATCTTTTTAGGCTATGGCCGACCGATATTACGTAATAGGAGATAAATTAAGTAATATTGTCTAATTAATATTTCATTTACAGATCTTCTTCGTGATGCGTAAGAAGTATGATCACGTGTCGAAACTTCATGTCATCCACCACGGCATCATGCCCATGTCCGTATGGTTTGGAGTCAAATTCACACCAGGTGAGCGTTCATTCGTCATTTTCCACTTCTTCTATGAAGCGTTTTTAAAAATAATGACTCAAACGATGATGGGGCATAAAAATGCAAGGAAAAATAAAAAAATATAATTAAAAAAATCAGAAAAAAACATGCATACCTACTCTATACGTACCACTACAATCCCACGAAGTTTCTTAAAAATATTCAGTTTAACTTTATATAACAAAATATAAACAAAGAATCATCAAAAATAAATCTTCAAAGTTAAGAAGAATGCTCATAAAATAAAAACTTCTCCAGAAGTAATTTTTATGGGGTTAAATGGCAACTAATCTGCATCGGAAAATAATCATGTAAATCGCATTAGAAATCACGGAAAACCTTTTAAGTCGGTTAAATATAGGAATCATAAAGAAATAATTTGTCATCATTTACTATCAGCCTATTAATTGCTCCACTACAGGTGCACATGCATTTTCTATGGCTGGAATAGGGAGACTGGGCGCGAGCCCAGTGCGGATTGGTGGTTACAAAGGACTGTAGATGCAGCCGGGACCAATGACTTTGACTTGAATGACGTGCCTTCCGAAGCATAGGGAAGCTCGAGATTATAAGTTTTTACCACCCATCCAATGGTGGTCGGTACCATTGCGAACGTTGCTTAACTTTCACGTTCGCAGGCCAAATACGCTAACCACCTGCGCCATAAAACACAGTAATTTATAGCCATAAAATTATTGTTTGAATTAGTTACTGCAGCCGCAGAGCAAATAAAAATTACACTGTATTGTAAATTATATTGCGAAAGCAAAAATGATACCTATAAAACAGGTAATCTTTTTCAATCTGTGTGGCCAGTATTTAAAATTATCACCAATAAAATAAAATAAAAAAACAATAAAGCGTGCCTTATTACTAGTGCTTTATCTGATAAAGAGTGAGTTGAGGTTTGCTGTGGATAAGTATCATATCTACCGTCAATATGTAATTTATTCAACAAAATGCAGAACGTGATGAATCAACGTCTCTTTAATGGCGGCATGTTGCAAAGTCTGTTTGCGACCACGTGGTGAGGCGCGTGTATTATAATAACGATAAACTAGACACTAGCCGATGTAAACATACGTTAGTTCAACATGCGAAACTATTAATAAATATGTAAAACAATTAAAGTACAGCTATTTTTAAGTCATTAGTACTTTAAGGTCAATTCACAATATTAACATCTCTTTTCATTTTAATTTAATAAATTAGTCATTTTAAGATGTTAAACGTTGAATTTAAAATTTACGACCATCCAGCGGCTGTTTACATACATTTTCCTACACGCAATAAGGAAATTAAATTAATTTCGTGTTTACATAAAGATGAATAGATTAAACTACCCTTATTTGGATAAATTAATGCAGATATTATACAATTATTTATAAGAAAATATTTCTTTATTTCGAAGTTTCACTAAATTACATATTTCTAGACTCTAAAGTTTAAAGAAAATCATTGACTAAACCAAAAATTGATCTTATTTTAAAAACAGGTAGAAGGTGAATTTGAAACCTTGGCGATGTACAGTCGAATTCACTTAAGTGGATGTATTTGAATTTGAAATACGAATATACTTTATATTACTAGATAATAAAGACGTTATACCCGAGCTACACAAGGACAGTTTTTCAAATTAGGATAGCAAACTAGCAAGCTAGTACTTCCGGCTTCGTGTAGATAAAACTAGCTTCATTTCTGATCTAGTAAGCTAGTTTACAAGCCAAGACAGTTTATAATAGGATGGAGTTCTATTTTTTTAGTTACGACAACATGAACCCAACTGTTTTGTAATCACGTGCATTTTATAATAATAAAGCTTACTAATAGTATGCTCAGCATGTTAAATATTGTTCACAAAAAAAACTAGTCTTGAGGTTTATTAGCGCACATGTCATATTTGGAGTGGTCGATACAAGTTCAGTGTGCGGAACTAAAAGTTATTTCCTATTTGTGTTGTGGCCTCCGTGGTCTCAGAGTTTATTCATTACATATTATGCTAATTGTTTGTACCGGTCTTGTTGTTCAGATAAAACAATAATTTAATGAAATACTTTTAGACTTATTATTATTATACCTATACTTATCATAATATAATTTTATCCTTGCGTGTTTTATCATAACAGAAGATGTATAATTTTTTATGCAAGTACGATGGAATACTGATTTGATTTTCTCAAAAAGTATAAAACTTACAACTATCAAAGTTATACCTGCTGAAAGTGTGTTCCATTAGGATTAAAATACTCAGAAAACTATCGCGATAAATCAATTTATAAAGTTTTTATTATGAAATTTCCAGAGAAAACCACTCTTCTCTGGAAATTTCATAATAAAAACTTTCCTGTTGTGTTATCGATAGAAAAAGTCGAAGTGGAAATACACACGTTCGAGAAAACGATGAACAAAACCTAAAGAAATTATTACATGTATCAGACAATCCACATTTTTAAAAAACCGGCCAAGTGCGTGTCGTGCCACGCGCAGTGTAGGGTTCCGTAGTTGCTCGTCGTCACCACAAAATAGTTTTGAAAGAGTCTATATTTTAAGTAATTACATCTTCTAAGTCACTTTTAATGGTTTTTTATAAGGAATTTATATTAGGTCAGAAATTTTCTATTATGTACATTAGTTGAACAACTATTACTCATAAACTGATAAATATTTTTAACTGTCATAATTTTCAATAAAAGTTCATGAAAACCACTATTATCTGGGGGGGGGGGGGGCGCCCTACAATTTGCACTTTAAAGTAGACTTGCAACGAATGGTATATTCGGCAGAATACCGAATATTCGGCGGGGCCCCTGACCGAATAGCCGAATATTAGGCAAAAGTATTCGGGTGGATTTTAGCGCCAAAAACTTGTACAGACGTGATTGTTTCGCGCTCCTTTGTATTGTTCTAATCTGCCGTCCTCAAGCTAAAATGCGGCTAAATGACAAAACCAACTTTTGAGATATGGCCAAAAACGGCGCGTAAACTTTACATTATTGCTATTATGTAACCATTCATCACATGACTGAATGAATTAAAAACTGTAAACTTGTTTAATACAGAAAATGATTAAATTATGTAAGTACCTGTTTTATGGACCAATGACTACTTAATAAATGATAATAAAAAAATGAGAACCTTACCCTTCTAAATTTTGATTACCACATATATTATTAAAGTTCAATATTTCGCAAACGGATTCCTAAATCCAAAAATATGAACCATGAAGTAAATTTAAAGGACCTTTTCAATGAAACCCAACACGATGGGGTAGACAGTGAAAAAAAAAACATGTCTAGATTACATGTAGGGGGGCTACCCTAAAAATATTTTTCGAAATTGTATTCTACCATTTTGTCGGCGATTAATTAACATACTAGTGAAAATAGTCTCCAAGTAAAACCGGGGACGGACAGACAGACGGACCTGACGAAACTATAAGGGTTTTTTGTCAGAACTACGGAACCTTCAAAAGAACGAAAATTGCATTTTTTTTTATAATATTACCATTATGTTTCTTGCTTGATTACAAAGTAAGTTGACAGTACTTTAGTTTTTTTTTGTCATTTTAATCATAATGAAATACTTTCAGTAGAAATAACTTTGATATTTGTTCTTACAAATAAAATTCTAGAGAAAAACGAATTAGAGCTTCAATGTACCAGCGGGTGACCTCGGGTTATTTGTTGTTGAGTGTAATATATTACCTATATCTACTTACAAGGAAAAGATATTTGTAAAATATTTTTATAAAAATTGTTATGAATTATTATTCAATTTCTTATGTGTTACCCGTTACCACTTTTAATGTAAAACAACAGTAAGTAAAACAGCGTATATAATTATATTTATTTCAATTACATTTTTTTATGAAAATAATTTATGAAAATATAAATTGGATTTAGGAATCCGTTTGCGAAATATTGAACTTTAAAGTAAGCTTGCAACGAATATTCGGTTACTATTCGGTATTCGGTCTATTCGGCTGCTTTTATTATATTCGGCCGAATACCGAATATCTACATATTAATCGGGCGAATACCGAATACTTAAATAATATATTTTGGTAAAATGAAAAATTAAAATCGATTGATTACGTATATATTCATATTTTCATTTCTGTTATATAATCATTAAAGTAGTCATTGGTACATAACAGGTAATATAATCATCTTCTGAATTGGAAAAATGGAGGATTCTATGTATTTCAATTTATGTGGTAATCAAAATTTAGAAGGGTAAGGTTCTCATTTTTTTATTATCATTTATTAAGTAGTCATTGGTCCATAAAACAGGTACTTACATAATTTAATCATTTTCTGTATTAAACAAGTTTACAGTTTTTAATTCATTCAGTCATGTGATGAATGGTTACATAATAGCAATAATGTAAAGTTTACGCGCCGTTTTTGGCCATATCTCAAAAGTTGGTTTTGTCATTTAGCCGCATTTTAGCTTGAGGACGGCAGATTAGAACAATACAAAGGAGCGCGAAACAATCACGTCTGTACAAGTTTTTGGCGCTAAAATCCACCCGAATACTTTTGCCTAATATTCGGCTATTCGGTCAGGGGCCCCGCCGAATATTCGGTATTCTGCCGAATATACCATTCGTTGCAAGTCTACTTTAAAGTGCAAATTGTAGGGCGCCCCCTCCCCCCCCCCCCCCCCCCAGATAATAGTGGTTTTCATGAACTTTTATTGAAAATTATGACAGTTAAAAATATTTATTAGTTTATGAGTAATAGTTGTTCAACTAATGTACATAATAGAAAATTTCTGACCTAATAAAAATTCCTTATAAAAAACATTAAAAGTGACTTAGAAGAAGTAATTACTTAAAATACAGACTCTTTCAAAACTATTTTGTGGTGACGACGAGCAACTACGGAACCCTACACTGCGCGTGGCACGACACGCACTTGGCCGGTTTTTTAAAAATGTGGATTGTCTGATACATGTAATAATTTTTTTAGGTTTTGTTCATCGTTTTCTCGAACGTGTGTATTTCCTCTTCGATTGTTTCTATCGATAACACAACAGTGTATTTTTTATATTAGAAGTGTCAAGCGCGAAGATCCAGAAACTATTATTTGGAATGCGTGGATCAATTAAAATCTTCATTAAAATGGTGTAATAATAATTTTATTACTTACTAGCGGCCGTCCACGACTTCGACCATGTTAAATTTTACTTTTTTTTTCAATTCTAAAATAAAAGATTTTTTCTAAAATAAAAGTAGCCTAAGATATTCTTTATTACATTAGCTGCCTGCCAATAAAAGTCCCGTCAAAATTGATCCAGCTATTACAGAGATTAGCCGGAACAAACAGAGATAGACAAAAATTCTAAAAAAAAAATTTGGTGTATGTAACGTATATATATTCATATGCATGTAGTAAACACTTCAATATTACACACAGACACTCCAATTTTATTGATGTGTATAGATGAATAGATTATATTTAAAGGATCTACAAAGAACAATTATTACAGTTAATATTTACAACAGACTCCATGTAAAATTTTCTGAGTGAATGTCTCTCAACGTAAATTATAACAACCTCATATTTAAAAAAGTTAATTCTTACTAAAAAGTTTGTATATCTGCGGGATATAACAAGACATGGTACTAAAGGTTAACGTGTCTTGTATGAACCGCTACAAGTGGTTCAAAGTGGTAAAGCCAGAAATTGAATAATAAATTCATAACAAATTTTCAATATGTTTTTTACAAATTTTAAATAAAAGTATATTTGATTATTATTCAAATTCATGATTTTTTATGTTGTTGATTCATTAGCAACGTTCAAGGCTATCCTATTGTTTTTTGCTGTCTATAAATACAAAGTGGTTTTTCATCTTAATAGTTATAACGGTTACATATATAGAAATGAATACTTCACAACATTTAATATTAAGTTTCATACTCTTGGTAATAAGTAAGCAATGTAATTACTTAAGTCTTACCCTGAACACGAAGGAGTTTAGGATAAGTGTTAATAACATTAACTGTTAGTAATTAGTTTTTAAACATGGCTAGTCATCAAAGAATTAATTTACATTCTCTAGTAATGGTATACCGCAAATATAATTACTATGGTAAAAGTTAAAAATATGCAATCTAAAAATAATTCTCACGTGTAATTTAAAGTGCTTTACGAAGAATAACATTTTGTGATGCATATTTAAAAATAGTATCTTAAGTCATTCAGTCAGAATGAGATGCTTTTTACTAAATGAATATTACGGTTTGGTAAATTTGAGTTTCTTTTGTGATCGGCCAAGGTGTTATACTTTTTAGTGGGGAATTTAGTTACTGATAATGAGTGATACTTAGGATTGCGTAGCAAAAGAAAATGCAACTCTATTATTATTATCATTTTCTATCTAAAAAGATATCATTTATTTAAAAAGGAATGGCAGAAAAGAATGATATTGCCTGCCTGATAATAAGTGGCTGCCATAGCTAAAAGATGCTTACGATACCAGGATCATTTGCGCATTGCCTGCTCTAACCCTATCCCCAACCCCACGGAGCCCTGGAACCTTACTGACAGAAACACAACACACTTTAAGGTATTGTTATTTCGCGGTTGTCACCTGTAAGGCTAAGAACAGACAGTGTGGTTTTTCCGCACTCGCCACGAACGGCCACAGAATTGTTTTATTTCAAAACTCACGAGACCGCAGTTTTCTGCGGTCCCGCAGCCGTGAAGCTGCGAGATGGGCTGTCTCGCCGTGTCCGCAAACACTCGTTGCGTTTTGTTCTTGCGGTTTACCTCAATTTTTTCATTCTACTTGAGTTGCAGTCCCGCAGCCGTGGCGGGCGCGGGAGAAAATCGCGCCATGAGCCTTTAGGTGTAACCAAAAAAATACATACAGACCTAAATTTTCACCCTTCTTCCACTAACCTTTATGGGACGGGATATGGCGGTAAGAAGTTCGCTAGGTCAGCTAGTATTTATAAAACGTTACTTATGAGTAAGTAATATGTTACGTACCTGGGTCTGATTACACCAAGTCCGAAAAAAAAACAAATATTTAACAGCAAATATGCAAAGCATAAAGTACAGCAGAGGAGATCAAAGTCTGCACAATTCTTTGTACGGTTTGCTTGTTTGCTAAACGTCTATATGCTTGTATATTAACATTGATATAACGATTAATGCCCGCTTACTTGCTATAAATAAATTCGTCATGGCTAGAGTGAGAATATGTTCATTACGACTTAAATTATGTAGTCAAACTTTGTTATTTAATCATCGAGATCTTAGAATCATACATTATGATACACTTACGTAAAGATTATCCTAAATAAATACTCGTGTATCTGAAGCATTCAAGTTTGACGCAATAACAGTACCTACTTATATGAAGAGTGTAGATATATTTGTCGAAACATTACGTCACACGTATCGAATATTTGAACAAATATTTCACGAATACTTCACAAGAGAGTTATACTCTAAAGTTTTTACCATACGTATTAATTTCCTTATCGAGTAGGTAATTGTGAATAGTCTTTTTATACGACAGTTTTATATGGGATCAAGATTTTATTGTATATCTTTCAAAATAGTTATACAGGGTGTAAAAAAACCTTTAACGAAGTCGAAGGTTACGTATTTTCCACATCATGACGATTATTTTTTTCTTCTATCCCAAGTATGGTCCTACTTGGGAAATTTATGGTTATGGAGATATTGAAGGTCAAAGTCAATGTTTTTTTTTCAAGTTTTATACATTAATATTTGCAAAACATTATTTAGAAACTTTTTTATCGACGCACTTACACACGCGCACACACATACACACACACACATTCTTTGCGTAGCGCCACAGTAGCGCGCCGCGCTATACATTGCGTACTGGAAAAAAAAATAATTTTTTTAACTTAAAAATACATTTTTTTCCCACGTGTAATATTTTGTAATATTACTTGTTTGGGTGTACAGAATGCGTAGTTTTAGTCTTTGTCATAGGTTTTTTTACACTCTGTATATTAATAGCTCCGTGTTTTGTATTTATAATTACCTTAAGTGCTCTTACATTGGGTTTGGATTTATTTATTTAATTAGGTATGCACTCGTTGTATTTAATTAAAATATTAACTAGATATAAAATTAGACATACCCATCGATAACAAAATAATAAGTCATTTGTTAAAAAGAAAAATCAATAATATATAATTGATTGTGAATCGAATTGATGATTTGGCGCAAGTGGTTAGCGCTTTCGGCTTCGGTCATTGAAGTTAAGCAATCGCCCAATTTCCCTATTCCATCTATAGGGAATGCCTGTGCCCCTCCAGTGGGACATTAATGGGCTAAAGAAGATGATTGAGAATAATTGCTAGTGGTTCTGAATGATATGCATGGTCAAACTTTGCATTGCAATGCTTCTTTTAATGTCGATTTTATGCTGTTGTTCATCATTAGACTGCACTTTTTTGTCTGAAACATTAAAGCAAATGATTGAAATTGGAAAGTAATGGGCAGTCTTTACCAATCGGAAAAAATCTCGTGGACTTTTTTATGTATGCGTGCGTATTCTCATAGATATCAAAGTAGTTTGTGGATTTTTTCGCTTAGTAGACACAGATCCTACGTAAGGACTCTCTTTTCCGCTATAGGTAGCGGCAAACTTCTTAAGCAAGAAGAAAGACAAATAAACTTGCGTAGTAGACGTTATTATATGTAAAAGTGCTACTTTGAAGGTTAAATTGTCTATGTTGTTGCTCAAGAAGTTTGCCGGGATGTCCATCGTCGAGACATATTCTAACTCATACCTGATTCGTAATTTGTGGATGGGTTTGTAGGGACTGATTAATAAATTGTTGTTAACAGGTGGCCACTCATCCTTCTTTGGCATGCTGAACACTTTCGTGCATATCATCATGTATTCGTACTACCTGCTGGCAGCTCTGGGCCCCCAGGTCCAGAAGTACCTGTGGTGGAAGAAGTATCTAACGGCGCTGCAGATGGTTAGTAGAATTTTGTTAGTGTCCGTGGAGCAACGGAACTATTTTTATAAAACAAGTTTCAACGGTATAGATGCACTGATTTATTTATTTATTGACGTTTCGCATCCTTTTTAGGATGCGTCGTCTGAATTATGATTTAATTTCCTCTTTTTATATGAAAAGGGTGGCAAACAAGCTTATCGCCCGTCTAATGGTAAGCGGCTACCATAGCCTATAGACGCTTGCGATTCTAAAATATCACTCGCACCGTGTTAGGCAGGCAGCAGCCTACCCTAATCCAATCCCCTACCGCGTGGAGCCCTGGAACCTTACTCACCGACAGAAACACAACATCAACACAAAGGTGTGTTATTTTATTTTAAAGGTATTTTGTGATCTTTTGTAAGGTAGAGGTTACTTCCCCAGACGGGCGCTCCAATTCGAGCGGCTAATCTGCTATTAATGATGCCTTTCCTCTCTTGAATTGCAATCAGTAGTAAAGTGTTAACGCTTGGTTTGTTACTTTTCCACTCAAAGATTAATTTCATTTCGGAGTACTAATTACATTCAGACGTATTTCAATGTAGCTTTTTAGTTTTCCTGAATTTATGCTGGACTTTACGGAGGCCGTCCAGTTTTAGGTGGGTCATGAGGTTGTTTGCCACCCTATCCAATAAAACAATTGGCACCGTCATAAATCAAGATACTTGCAGAATACAATTTATAACAGCATAACATGAAATGGGAGCGGATTGCAGCGCCACAGTGATAGTCGCATTAGCTTATGTGCCGTATATACTATGCTATTATTTTTTGTCTGGAAAATGCCTTACGCATCCTTCAACCGACGGGGGAGCGAGAAGAAGGTATGTGGGAATCTACCCTGCTCATATCAGCCAACCCTTGGACCGGATGAAATGAGCAGGGCCCTACCTAACGCCCTGAACAGGGCCACTAAAAACCAAATAATACTCCTGCACTGGTCATCTAGCGTACATTTTGGGGACCGCAGTCCCCCCAATGCACGTCGGGAGTGCGGGTGTGCTCGCGGTCATCGTTGTCAACTGTCCGCGCGTATATACTATGCCCTAAAGTGCCCCAAACAAACCTCCCTGTCCCGTTCCAGTATATATATTTTTCTCCATTTATTTAGGACAGAAAACAGTCTCACAATAGCTGTTACTTTTAGATACTTAATATAAATACATTTAGACATTGTGACACCAATAACAATGTCCACATAATTTAGCATAAAAAAGTCCTTAACTAGAGCTGACATTCTGTTTTAGTTTAAAAAGTATTACATAAGAATATGAATTATACTTTAGTATTAGATAGTAATCACATAAATCTAGTCTACGTAGTCTGGCATTACATTTATAAAGTAAAACATGTAATGTTGGTTGTACATCAAGTCAAGTCCGTGTGGACTTGTTGATAGTGACTTGATGTCCTGGCCCGTTTTGTTACCTAATGGTGGTGTTACCATTAGGTAACAAAACGGGCCAGGATTATCTCAGTTTCTAAATTGATAAAAAAAATACATAAGCCCAAGCTAATCACCATCAAGTGCCATCAAAACAGCCATTTTATATTTACTGGAATTAAAGTTGAAAATATCAACATCATTAAATTTAATATAATATGTCTTTAATAATGTATTAATTGGCGATATTTCGCCCAGTGTTTTAGTTTTTTCACAAAATCTAAAAGAAACTTTACGCGGTACTGAAAACCGCAATTTATTTGTAAGTTCAATACTGAATATTTATTATGACATAAGTCGTATAGTACAATCATATCTAACATTGTCTTTCGCTTAGTTTTATTAATTTATATTTCTGCATCAGTTGGTCATATTTCAAGTAGTCGTGATAACATCTGTAGTTCATGGATCGCAGAAATTTCTTTTGTACATTTTCCATCGCATCAATATATTTTTGGTAAAAAGGGTTCCAAATATTCTAACTGACTTCTGATAAGAGATTTGTATAAGTATAAAAGGGTTGTAGGATATTTAAAACTTTCACAAGCGCGGACACATCAACATCATCACATCCAAACATTTTAAAAGCTTTTTTTACAATATTACCTGCATGTCCATCCAAATGTAATTTCAAATCAAGCAATATTCCTAAGTCTCATATGCAGTCCACTTTTTCTAATATGTTATTTCCTTATTTGTAATTGAAGTAACTAATGTGTCTTTTTTTAGTAAATGTAATTGATTTTATTGCAATTTATAGTAAATGTGTCTAAGTAAGTTAATATTAGTTATAATATGGTGCATTTTTAGGTCATGCACATACAAGGAAAAATTACAAAACGAAAAACAACTTCTGATATCGTTGATGAATATTACAAAGAGTAGTGGCCCGAGAATAGATTCTTGGAGTACACCGGAGGTAATTGTGATTGTGTAAGATTCAAAGCCCCGAATGACTATTTTTGAGTTATGTTGCTGATATAGGACTTAAACCATCGTCACAGATTTCCCCGTATATCGTTACACGCGATTTTTTCTAACAGTATTTTGTGATCTACGCGATCAAAAGCTTTTTTGAAATCGGTATACATACAGTCAATTTGTTTATTTTCATCCATTGCGTCAAACTAATCGCAAGTAAGTTAGTAATAGTTGATCGTCTTTGAATAAAACCGTGGTGCTGAGGTATTATTTTACTGTGGGGTTGAGGATATAATTTATTACGTTTTAGTTTTTTCACCTTTTAGCATTTAATTCCAATTGTAGGTAGAAGTGATTTAAACAACATAATTTTTTTGGCTTTGTTTAGATTTACATTTAAATGTATTCTTTTGTGGGGGTGTGTCTGATCACCTTGAAAAGTTGGTATTTGAATTCTAAAGTATTTTTAATATCAAACATTATATAAGACGCAGTAAGCAAGATTTGCATAATCAATAAAGAAATAAAAATTGTTTAGATAGGTCAGAATGATTTCATCATATACTTTAATAAAATGCAATCAAGTTTGTTTTTTATAAACATTAAATATTTTATCAATATTAATAAATATAATCATAAAATAAAATTCTAGATAAAATGAAAAATAAGTTTATTTATTAGTCTCGGTCAAGTATCTACGATACACAGTAAAAAAAAACTGTTATAAGTAGGTTCTAAATATGACACCAGAAATAAAGCTATAAATATAACAAATTTTATTAAATATAGTCGATAATTAATCTTTGGTCTAGCAGCAAACAAACTTTAGCTTTTCCCTCTCACCATACTGGTTTTGTTTCCAACTCATTTTCTCTTCAAGCTATACGACTCTGGAACGCACTGCCTCCTCATTATTCAAGATGCTCCGAACAAACTGGCTTTTAAACGCTCCGTACGTCATCATTTATTAGATTCCTCCTCCGCATCCTCCTGATATGATATAGATTTGTATGTATTTATCTAAATATTTGTTATGATTTATATATATATATATATCATTTTTTATGTATGTTTATAGATATGTATTTTGTGTAGTATATATCATAATATATATATTATCTTGTTTCCATAGATATAAAAATATATTAAGTAATTTGATGAATTCTTTTTGCACTACCTTAAGATTTTTGCTAAAATTCTCCGGTTGACTGGTAGGGAATGCCTAATGGCATTAAGTCCGCCACTTGTACATACTTTTGTGCAATAAAGTATAAATAAATAAATAAATAATTCCAACTTTGTTTTTGTCTAGTTCGTATCTCTTAGTGTTTTTTATACGCAAACATAAATTAGATCTAAAGAAAATAAGTAGGCCTATACGCTAAGCTTTTGACAAATGGAAGTGATAATCACCGAGCTATTTAGTGATCCACTGCTGCTTTATTATAACGTCACTAAGATATTTGTTTGAAAAGCATCGATGAATTGACAATTTTGGGGGAAAGTCATTTGCTCGTGTCATTATTTATCGCACGCGTTTGAGAATGCCTACTCATCTATTAGTAGTTAGGTCAAAGTTAATTTACTTAAATCTACAGACTTGTGTTAGTACTAATTGTGTAATTGTGGCCTAAAGTATTTTTTTGTATTGTTTCAGGTTCAATTTGTATTAGTATTCATCCACGCATTCCAACTATTGTTCACTGACTGTGACTACCCGCGAGCGTTCGTTTGGTGGATCGGCATGCACGCTGTCCTCTTCTACCATCTCTTCTCTGACTTCTACAAACAGGCTTACCTCAAGAAGAGCAAGGTAATTTACTTACAAAAACTTTATGTAAAACCGATTCGTTCTGTGATCGAATTAGGTATTTGTTGAGCATATGTCTTCCCCTGCAAAGATCTCCACGTTGATCGTTCCTGAGCTGTCCGCATTCAGCAGTTGATTTAATACATTATTCTTTAATTTGAGATCATTTACATATTGGTAAATATATATTTTAATATTTGAAATCAGAGCTTGAATTATGCGCATGAATTATATTTCTGCACTTATGCAGTTCATTTTATCAAAATATTTCATTGACAAGATTTCAAATCTCAAGAAAGCTATCGTCATCGTCAAGTCAAGTATCAGGCTTTAATTATTCCCGATCAAATCAATATATAAAATAAGTGTCTGTTTTGTCAACTATTACAATAGTATTTAGAGTAGTTTCAGATTATAATAACACAAGATCTCGTGACAACGCGAAAATTGGAATGAAATTGCAGCTAAAATTGGAATCACAGTTCATTCCGATAATTTTTAATGAAAGTATTGTTCGTTGGAAAACTTTTCAAGCAAAATATTTGATTTACAGAAAGATAAGATGAAGGTAAAGGTGGAAGACGATGCAGCGAAGACAGAACCAAAGGAAATGAAGTTGCCTCTTTTGAACGGCTTCAGCAACGGATCAGCCTTGGGCGACGTGCGGCAGAGGATGGCAGGAGCGGTGGCGTCCCAGTAATTATAGAATACACACCAACACGGATTTTGTACTAGACTAATATAGAGCGAGATGAAATCTGTTCCTGAACTACGGAGCACTTAATGTTATTAAAAACCAGAAACGAGAAGGTACTACTGATGCCAAGGTACCTACGAAACAAGGTTTTTTATCCTTGCATCAGGATCGCGGCGGTCTAACCACGTGAACAAGTTCATTACACTTCTAGTGGCATTAATAAAGACTGCTGCACAAGACAAATATAAATTATAAGCAAGAGTCAAATGATCTGTTGTGTTTTTTTGAAATATTAATTTCCTTATAAAGTTGGAAGCTTTTATCGCACGTGCCAAAATTGTTAAAGGAAAATCCCACAAAACTTGTGTAGGCGATGATGTAGGCTAATTTATTAATATAGTAAAGTAATTTTGACTAAAACTGTGTGTAAGAAACATCACGAATTATGACATTTTGGATGTTAAACAATAAATTTGTTATTGATATTATTAGGCATTGTGATACAATATTATTTATGCATGCGATGAATATTTAAAATTGCTCACTGATTTGAATACAAAACACACAAGACTGGTCTTTGTATATAAGTATGACAAGATTGTGCATTTTTTTTTATTTGAACGCTGCCAGAATTTTGTTACATTACAAAAACACGAAACGTTTTCCATCTCTTATTCGTTCCAATAAGACATTGTCGGAGGAGAAATGTTCTTAACTTTAATCTTTCCTTGAAATTTACTTTCTATACATGCCTTTGTTTAGGGTCATATATCACATAGAAATGGCGATTTATTTTCAATTATCATTTTTATAGAAGATTAATACCAATTTATATCTTATGCATCTACTATTTCCTTCAACACAAGTTTATTGTGGATAAGAGATGGTGAAAGTCATAAACTGCATACAGATAATCACGAATCAAAATAATGAGCTCAATTAGTTTAAGTTGTTACATGTATAAAATAGTTTTATTTATTGAAAATCGACAAATGGTGGTAATAGGAAATTTTATTGTTGTGGACTGTTAATTTTTATAACAAACATGAAAAATTAGACGAAAAGAAAAGAAGAGACGCATAAAAGGTAATATAGTAAATGGTCAGTTACGGAAAACAAGAAGTCTATTTTAATACGAAACGTTTTAACATAATACTGGTTTCCATGATAAATTTTTCAAAGTTCTAAACGCTTATCTTGAATGAATATAATAACAATTAGGTCCGTCTTATTATGTGTTTTGTCATAATAATGCCGTGTCACAAAATTTAATTGTAATATAATTTGTGATTTATAATAATGATTTTAGATTTATTAAAATATTGTTTTTATTGATGTGATTAAGTACTTAAGTGTCCACTTAATAATTGAGTTGGAGCTCGGGTACTGTCGATGACAGATATCAAAAGAATGTTATTATTATTAAGAAGTTAGACTATCGAAATTTGTAAATATTGTGGTTTAAGTTCTTATTGGAAAGATATTTTTGTATGTTATTTGTGATAGTTATTTAAAATAAAGAAATTTGGATTACTAGAAGGTCTTTTTGTTTTTAAATATATAATAACATTCATTCATCTTGCAAAATATTACTATTATTTTTGGTAAAATTGTAGCACCTTTTTGTAAGCCATCCCATTGCGACAGATTTCTAGAAATGCAAATTATATAAAAATCAAGTTATATAATTCATGCATTAAAAGTTCGAAATACTTTAATATTATGACAAACTATCTCAGAAATATATTCTTTACTTGTGGGGGCACCCACAATCTTAGTCTGCGGGGCTTAATTGACCTTTTCATCCCCTTAAAAGATTATTTCTGGGACTCCGACTATATACATAACAAATTTCATATAACTCCGTTGAGCGGTTTAAGCATGAAGAGGTAACAGACAGACAATTGAAAAAAGGAAGACAGACACATACTCGCATTTATAATATGACTATGAAATTAGTATGGATTACTACAAAAAAGTTATGCATTCAAACATGCCTAAACATGGTACCTACAGTGTCTAACTTTTTTATAATTTGATAGGTTGGTCTTGGTTGTGTGCATAGCTATAAAAATGATTGCCATCATATCATACCTACACCTACAATAATATCATAATCACCAGCTTTATGGTGTTCTCACTGTTGGGAAAAACGCAGGAAAAAAATTAAATTTTCCTCATAGTTAAACTAAACATAGGATTTCACTTCATTCATGCATGGTAATCTCAAGTTAGATGGAATATGATTTATCACAATAGGTATATACCTACTTTTAATATTAGGTACCTAATATTATTTAAATAATGTTTTCCAGGAATTTAAAGCAGCTTTTGAACTTGAAAATTTGTCTTCACATTTATAGTAAAGAAAATCGTCGAAGAAAATTTGAAAATCTGTCTTCACATTTATAGTAAAGAAAATCGTCGAAGAAAATTTGTGATTGCGCTTTAACATTCCCGGAAGATGTATTGCTTGATTCTTTATGCGCAACACATTTTTTTGATTAATTTAATTAGATTGATTAAAAACACAAATAAAACGCTTTTGTCTATTCTTAAATTACATTACACTGCCTTAAACCATAAAACATCATATAAAAATGTGCCATGATCACGGAGTAACTGTAATTCCGTGATCAATGCGCGTGCACGGCCGAAATATTGGAAACTCGCTAAAAACACGGTACATGGTAACAATCCCGTAAATAACATAAATGCCTGTAGTATTAGTAACCAGACAGTTTAAGACAATATATCAAATAAATCTAATATGAAATGACATATAAAGAACAATGTCCATTTTTGATCTGATCATGTATAGAGATGACATATACGTCAAAATAAAACTAATTTAATTCTAAGTTAAATACAATAATCAACGTGGTAAAAGAAAAGCAGGAAAAAGAGTTTTTTTATTATTTCAATATGTTTACTGTATGTGTAAGTTACAGTTTTCGAACGCACTTCAACTAGGTATCTGGTGTTTTCCTACGTTCCATTTTACACACTGCCATTAGACAAGAATATTGATTCAACTCTATGTTAAGTATGTTTGTAACGAATTGGCTCAAAAAGTACTGGCCGATTTTAAAAATTCTTTTACCAATTGAATGCTACATTATCACTGATTAATATAGGCTGTAGGTGTAGGTGTATTTTCAAAAAAGTTAGGGTTCCGTATGAAAACTTCGATAATGTAACCCAATGTGTGTAAAAAATACCTAGCGCACGCAACGAAATCTCACAAATGGAATATTTTTACCCGTTTTTGCAACATTTTTCATCGATGCTCCTCTGCTACTGGTCGTAGCCTGGTAATATATAGCCTTCCTCGATAAATGCACTATCCAATACAAAAATATTTTTTCAAATCGGAACAGCAGAGCAATGTTGCATTCGGTACAACAACGGGTCCTAATCTACGCAACGAATTTTGTACTTGGAATGGAAGGCTTATAATTATTATGAAGAAGGTCATTGTGTATAATACAAGCCTTTAAACAAAAACTATAGTCTATACTACAGCTCTACACCGAAGCAAAAGGAGCGAGGGCGGGCCACTAGTGTAAATATAAAGTAATCAATTCACAAATAACTGCACTGCATTTGTCACTGAACTTGATCGAAATATTCTCTTTTTATGTGATTTGTCGTGAATAAATTAACAAATTAAATTGCAGATAATGCAAAAAAACATCTGAACACTTCAGTGTTGCCAGAGCAATAAATATAATCTAAAAAACTAATTAATTTTTTTTCCTGCGTTTAAATCGAAAAAATTACTATATTTTTCAAATGTATAGAAAGTGGGCATTGTTTTTGTAAGAATATCTGTGTAAAACGGAGAAAGTCACAGTGAAAAAAAGCGGCCACGTGCGTGTCAGACACGCCCATGAAGGGTTCCGTAGCAGCAAGTAATTTAATATAAAAGTACTTGTAATTCGTTGTAACTTTGATCGATGTTTTAATAATAGTGTATATTTATTAATAAATTAATTATGAAAAAAATACTTACTAGGGTGACTGATCCAAATGCTAGTACTGCACCAAATAATCAGCACTCTGAATAAATAGTAAAATTATAAGGTTTTCACTGACAAAGGGTTACCACTTTAAAAAATAAATAAATTGTTGTTTTTGGAATCCTTTTTTTATTACGCAGGCACAAACTCTATTTACAGACATTGGCGCCCTTAAGGGGCACACCAACGAACGGACCTCGCACCTAGCCTCTCGCAAATCTCACGGGTGCGAAACGGAAAAGCCGATAAGCAGTCCGCGCTGCTTACGAGCGCTTGCGGCACACTATCCGCTAAAACACCCTGCGAATACCCTCTACGCTGTGAAGTGCGGAACCGCGAGATCCCCGTTGAGGGACTTCACCGCTTCTCCGCACCCAACAGCCTAGCCGAGGCTCCACGGCAGGGATCAGCCGGGGTATCGTGGGTGACCCCGCAGACGTGCGCAGGACTGCCCGCATTGGGAGCTAAGTGCGCGGCCTATTGCCCACCGCACGAATGGTGCGCCCCGTCCGCTGCGGAAGGATTGCCTACGCGTTCCCCTCGCAGGCCCTTCCGCGGCCCTCTCATGTAGGACAACTACATGAGAGGGCTGCCGTCATGAAATCCGTCGGTGACCGGCATGGCTAACGCCTTACCGGGCAGCGAGGGATTCATTTAGGTGGGGGGGTCACTGGGCGGGTCACGCCTTCGCCTTCCCCTTCCTCTCCTTCTACGGCGGCAGGGAGCGGCCAGAGGATTATCCTCCCGTTCCCTCTCGGCCGCCTCCTTCTGCGAGATGATGCCCTCGCAGAATGAGGCTGCTGCCCCCCAAGCCCTCCCGCTGCTGAGCATGCTTCGCAGCGAGAGGGTCCCGCATCCTAGCGCCGCAATTAACTCGCGGCGCTGTCGTTGCCAGGCCGAGCACTCCAATAAGGTGTGTTCGGCCGTATCGTCGGAAGCATCGCAGTGGTGGCACTGCGGCGTCCCCTCCCGACGGGCGACCCGGTGCAGATAGTGATCGAAACACCAATCTGGTCAGGATCTGCGAAATGCGGAAGGTGAGACCAACGCGCCGGCGTCCCACCCACTCCTCCAATACCGGTCGAAGGGCCTCTATGATCCAGTGGCCAGCATCAGCATGCGCGAGTATCTGCCGCAGTTCCGCTGCAGCTAGTCGCTCGCCTCGCTCTCTGGCTTCGACCCGACCTTGATGCATGTCTGCCAAGACTTGTGCATCGAGATCCCACGGCGCACTATGGGAACCCTCCTAAGAAAGCCATCTCATAAATGCTTTTTTCGTAACTGTGATTCGAGGCATGTATTATACATCAAATTATAGCTAAAGAGTTACTTTATTATAATCAATATAATTTAAGTCTCTGACTCTTCGTATTTTATAAAGAAGAACATCTAAAGTCAGGGAATGAAAAAAATACAAAAAATAATAATTAGATTTCAGTTAGTTTGGTATAATTTTGTAGGATCATAACAAAAGAAATCATGTAAGTGTGATACCATTTTAGAAAGCTTAGAATGTATTCTTTTCTATAAAATTTAAATATATGCAGTTTTTTTAATACAATACAATACAATACAATACAAAACACTTTATTGTACACCACATATAACATTAAATTTAGTACATAACCAATTAAAACTAGTGTAACAATGGGCGGCCTTATCGCTTAGAGCGATCTCTTCCAGACAACCTTTGGATGGAGAGGACTAGAAGGAAGTGGGAATGACGGCGGTGTAAATCACTTGAGTGATATAGGTGATAATATATACAATTATATACATACATAAATATAAATATATATTAAATATATTAAATAAATACATACATACACATAAATAAACAAATCTAGTTCAGTTGGTAGTAGTCACAAATAAGATTAACATCAAAAGTTATAAGGACAAATAATGGGACTTTACGAGGTTTTTAAAAGCGTGGATAGATTCTGCACGTCGTATGGTAACTGGGAGAGAATTCCACAAATGTACGGCACGCACTGCAAACGAACGGTTATAAAATGTTGTAGCATGTACAGGAGTCATGAGAGTAAGATTTTCTGATGACCTAAGGGATAACGTGTTAGAAGTGTGAAGGAAATTAAAACATTCCTGGAGATAGCGCGGGGTCTTAGGATTAAAC